TTTCCAAAAAATTGCCTGACCAATAAACCTCAATGTAGGTATTTAGTCAACTAAAATAAAATTTCTGACGCCGAAATGGCCGACGCCGAAACGGCCTACGCCGAAACGGCCTACGCCGAAACGGCTCTACGCCCAAACGGCCACGCCGAAATGGCCACGCCGAAACGGCGACGCCGAAACGTCCCATTCCGCGCTTAGAACGCTTACAACAATTAATCAATAATTCAAAAGCAGATATTATCTGCCTTCAAGAAACCAATTTCAAGGAAACACATACACGCGAACTTAAAAATTTTGAAGGTTACCATTTTCTGCGGCCTACGTTTGCAAGAACAAGTGGGGGAACATCTATCTTCATGTCTAATGATTTATTTTCTATACAATATATCCTAACTACCAATTTGGAGGCCATAGCAATAACTGTCTGGTGTCCCGACCAAATAACCATATGCAGTACATATATTCCACCTAATTATAACTTAACAGAAACCGAGTTAGATGACTTAATTCGCCAACTTCCCAGTCCTTTTATACTAGTTGGAGACTTTAACGCCCATAATACCAAGTGGGGCTCAAAGAAAACATTTGCTAGAAGAAAAACCGTAGAGACCGTATTGAGTTGCAATAATACTTGTCTGATGAATAGTGGAGGCAGTATACATTTTAACATCGCCTCAGGAACTTACTCTTCTATCGACCTAAGCATATGTGATCCCAAGTCTGCATATTTACTCTCATGGTATACTTTAGATAGCTTATATGATAGTAACCACTTCCCGATAGTCATAACAAATAGCAATAAAAATTTTTGCACCATTACTAAATGGAATATCGCTAAAGCGGACTGGAATAATTTTCAAACTAGAGCCGAAGATAATATTTTATTACTTCAACAATCTGACGATATAGACGAGGCAATAACTCTCTTTAATAACTGCATTATTATGTCTGCAGAAAATCATGTAAAAAAAATAACAATATTCCCCTCTAAAAAAGCAGTACCATGGTGGAATTCAGAATGTGAACTAACTGTACGTCAATGCAAAACGGCACTCAACAGATATCGAAAAAGAAGAACTCAAGAAAACCTAATTTATTTCAAAAACCTAAGAGCCGAAGCGAAATATGTCCTTAAAAAAAGGAAAAAAAGATTCCTGGCAAAATTTTGTCTCTACAATTACTAGTGATACTCCACCATCTCAAGTTTGGATAAAAATAAGACAAATATAAGGTCATAAAACAAACTCCAAAAATTTCAGCAATATCACTGAATGGAAAAGATATAACAGACAACCAAACAATTGCTCAAATCATGGCTGAAAGTTTTGCATGGAAATTCAGGTCTGAAGTCGAACAGATTGAAAGTTCAAATGACCAGAATATATAAATTCTCTTGTTGCACAAATTAGTAGACACGACATTGATGCTATTACCTTCCTTTTACACAAGAAGAATTAGCACTTGCACTATCTTCTTGTACGAACTCCGCCGCTGAACCAGACAATATCCCAATTATATTCATAAAAAATTTATCTTATTCCAGCCTCGCAACACTGCTGAATCTTTATAACAAGATATGGCATACTCAGCAATTACCCAAACTGTGGCGTGAATCAATTATCATACCAATAAAAAAATCTGATCTACCCTCAAACCAATCAAAATCATACAAAACTATCTCTCTAACCTGTTCATTATGTAAACTGTTTGAGAAAATGATTAACATGGCTTCTCGAAAAATATGCAATAATTGACTCAGCGCAATCCGGTTTCAGACGTCACCGTTAAACCCTTGACAATTTAGTGCTATTACAAACACAAATAGCTTCCGCTATTTCAAACAAACAGGATCTGATCGCTACTGTCTTTGATATAGAAGGAGCTTTCGATACTATCTCGCGCCAAGCCATTCTTGAAAAGCTTCGTCAATACAAGATAACAGGAAATATTTACTCCTTCATAAAAAACTTTTAACAACAAAGAACGTTCAAAGTGAAAACAAATGGAGAAATTTCGGCGACATTCGGGCAAAATAATGGAGTTCCACAAGGTTCAGTACTCAGTACAACACTGTTCATTCTTGCAATAAATGATATTTGTTTCAGTATTTGTCCACCAGTCAAGCACTTAATATACGCAGATGACCTTATTTTATATTGTCAGGGAAAAAGTACAATCGCTACATGCAACGTACTCCAAACCGCTGTAAATCAACTTAGGCGAATGGTCCAAAAAACCGGATTAGCTGTTTCAACGACTAAAACGAAAGTAATACGGTTTAGCAGAAGACCCTGCAGCCAAAGTCCAATTATCACCCTTAATGGAACTCCATTGCAACTAGTTACTCATCACAAAATACTTGGTTTAACGTTTGACAGTAGGCTAACTTGGAAACAGCATATTAGTGTATTAAAGGCACTATCAAAGTACACATGAAGTGCGGATGAAATCATCTTACTTAATATATATATATATATATATATATATATATATATATATATATATATATGTTATAATATATGTATAAATCTATATAATATATGAATATATATATATATATATATATATATATATATATATAGAGCTTTAATTCGCTAAAAACTGGACTACGGTAGCTTCATATACATGAGAGTATATGAAGCGGGAGCATATATATACGAGAGTATCTTCTTCAATCTTACTTTGCTTCCGTATCCGCAAACCCAGTCTAGCATTTATTTACTTCAACATCGCCTCCGGAGACCCCGCAAAGGATCCAATCAATAATAAACATCCAGAAATTAACTCTAAGATACACCATCGACCTTACCAAAACACATCCCTTTCCACTCCCGGATACTCCGCCTTGGAATAGACCAATCCCACATTCAATCACTTCTCTATTAGAATACAGTAAACATGAAACCTCAAGCCTTCTCATAAGGCAACACTTCAAAGAAATCATAAGCAAGAACCAATTCCAAACAATTCTGTATACAGATGCCTCCAAAAGCGAAGCAGGCGTTGGATGTGCCGTTACCACATATGATGAAGTAATAAAATCATCTTTTTTACCGAATTTATGTAGCGTATACACTGGAGAACTTTATGCGATACTAGAAGCTTTTAAAAAACTAAAAACAAATCATAAAAACCAAGCAATATGCACAGACTCCCTGTCATCACTACAAGCGATAAAAAGTCTATACTCTCAGCATCCCTTAGTTCAAGAAATCCATAGGACACACAGTGCACTCGCTTTTCAAGTGTAGATGTCACGATCATCTGAGTACCATCCCATGTCAGCATCCCCGGTAATGAAAAAGCAGACCAAGCAGCCAAGCAAGCTTCTTGTGTAAACAGTCAATCCTCAAAAGCTCAACATATTCAAATCCGTAATGACCTAAAGCAAATTTTCAAGCAACAACAGTATCATACCTGGCAAACCCACTGGAACACAATCAAGAGTGCATTACATGAGATCCGGCAGACTGTTGAAAAATTTGAACTTCCAAACATGCCTAGAAACGAAAAAACTGTCATCCGAAAATTAAAAATAGGACATACCTGATTCACACATGAATATTTAATGAAATACGAGCCGGAGCCCAATTGCAAAATCTGCTCAAGTGTAATAACTGTAAAACTTATCCTGATCGAGTGTCCCCGGTACGCAAAATACAGAGTACAACATAAACTTAAGTCAAATAATCAAAAGACTGATATTTTTTGTACACACTTAAGTGTGTACTTTCTTTCGATTAAGTCAAATATCAAAGACGTTTTAAACTCGCCCGATCAAGTCTTTAACCTAATTGGTTTCTTGAAAGACATTAAGTTGATGATGATGATAGTGTGTTTGACATGGAAAGTAGTCCTTTTGTCACATATTTTTAAATGATTTCTGTTATGACATTCAGTTGTTCAACAGAATATGACCCCTTGTTTTCCATGTACTTTATCTTTAACTTATAACTTAGTGATAAAACTGTTGTATTATTTAGTCACAGGTTCTAAGCTTATAGATTAACTGTAGCAATTAGTAACACGTGTATATTATAATTATTGTACATATATATATATATATATATATATATTATATATATATATATATATATATATATATATATATATATATATATATATCGGTTTTAAAACGTTCTCCTACGTCTTCCGATGCCTAGTCGCCATTCACTTCGGTCCATCCAAAGGTCTTCATCTAATTCTCTTTCTCTCATACTTCGATTTATGCCTTCTCTCCAACTAAGGCGGGGTCTTCCTCTTTTTCGTCTACCATGAGGGGTCCACGTTAGGATTTGTTTCGGGAGTCGTTCTTCGGACATTCTTTGTACGTGTCCATACCATCTAAGCTGTTTGGTACTAATGTCATCTACTATTGTGTGTTTCACATTCATTATTTCCCTAATTCTGTTGTTGGTTACCCTTTCTAATCTTGATTTTCCTGCTGAGCGCCTCCAGAAATCCATTTCTGTTGCTTCAAGTTTTCTCTTGTATCTTTCTTTTATTTGCCATACTTCACTGCTGTAAGTGATTATACTCTTAACAATTGTATTGTATATTATATGTTTGTTGTTGTTTGATATTGCCTGGTTTATATTATATACTGCCTTCTCAATAGCCTACAGTATGCTATTGAGAAGGGTAATTGCTTTTCTTCCCTGGTTGTTTCTTTCTTCTATCGTCCGGTCTACGTTTCCTTCTTGTGTGATGGTCATACCCAGGTATTTATAAGCGTCGCAATGTTTAATAATTTCGCCATTCCCCAGTGTAAGGTCCTGCTGTGTCCCACCGATACACATATATTCGGTCTTTTTTATGATTATTTCCAAACCACCTTTTTTGTACTCCTCTATTAATTTCCTTGTCATATATTCTATATTCTTTATGAATTCTATAATTATTGTACACAATATTGTTTATGTCAATAGCCATTGCAGCCAAGACACATTAATTTAAATAAAAAAAATATATAATGATGTTATTTTAAATTTTATTTTTAGATCAATTTTTATGGAGCTTTACAATATTGTAAATTGCGTAACATGGAGTTAATTAATATTGATTCTGCAATTGAAAATGATAAAATCGGTCTACATATAATAGAAAAAGGTATGTAAATTACTGTTTCTTTTATTTATTTAATACTAAAGATTTCGATTATTGTTAGTATGATGAGATATTTGAGAAATAAGCAATTTTGCTCTAACCTAAATTTATTGCTACTAAAATTTTAAAAGGAGAGAACAGACTCACTAGTATCTCTTAGAGTTTAACAATTTTTTACACAAATATTAGTTTGTATCATCACTGCTTCTCCTTCTTCTTCTTCATCAAGTGCCATCTCCGTGACGGAGGTCGGCAATCATCATAGCTATTCGGACTTTTGACGGCTGCTTTGAAAAGTTCATTTGATGTACATCCGTACCACTCTCTCAGGTTGTGCAGCCATGACATTCTACGCCTCCCTATGCTTTCTTTTCCTTGGATCTTTCCCTGCCTAATTAGTTGGAGCAAGGTGTATTTCTCTCCACGTGTAATATGTCCGAGATATTCCCATTTTCTTGTTTTAATTGTATTTAAAATTTCCATTTCTTTATTCATCCTTCTCAGAACCTCTTTGTTTCTGACGTGTTCTGTCCACGATATTTTCAGAATTCTTCTATACACTCACATCTCGAATGATTCCAGTTTCCTCATTGATGTCGCATTCAAGGTCCAAGATTCCATTCCATAAAACAAAGTCGAAAAAACATAGCACCTCGCCAACCTAACTCTTAGTTCCAATTTTAAATCCCTTGTACATAGCACTCTTCTCATTTTGTTGAAATTTGCTCTAGTCTTTTCTATTCTGATTTTGATCTTTGTACACTTGTTCGACGTTGGTTTGTTTATTAGAAGATTCTCGTTATTTATTTGAGTTTTCGATATTCTCATAAATTTAGTGTTCTTGACGTTCATTGCTAGACCGTACTCTTTTCCATACTCCGCTATTCTAGTCACCAGTCTCTGAAGATCTTTAATATTTTTGGCTAAAATCACAGTGTCGTCCGCATATCTAATGTTGTTAACGGGAACTCCATTTACCTTTATTTCAGCTGTTTCATCCTCAAGAGCTTTTTTCAGGATCTCGTGGGAGTAGGCATTAAAAAGAATTGGCGACAATACGCATCCCTGTCTCACTCCATGTCAAATTTCAATTTCTTCTGACAGCTGTTCATTAACACATACTTTTGCTCGCTGTTTATAGTATAAATTTAATATCATCCTGAGGTCGTTGTAGTCAATCTTTTTTAATTTCAGGACATTCATTAATTGCTCATATCGTAGTTTATCGAATGCTTCATTATAGTCAATAAAACATGCAATTATATCTTGATTGACGTCCAGGCATCTTTGTATCAAAAAAGAGCTTCGCGCGTTCCTAGGCATTTGCGAAAACTAAATTGTGTTTCATTAACGTCTATATTCAGTTTTTGATATATTTGGTTATGAATGACTTTTGCTAGTAACTTTAGCACATGAGACTCAGCTAATGGTGCGGTAATCGCTGCGTTCTCTTGCTTTTTTCTTTTTAGGGAGATAAATAAAAATCGACATTAACCACTCCTGTGGGAAATACGCTTGAACTATAAATTTAGTTCAAGAGTGTCTCAAGATGTCACAAAAACATCAATGTGTTTCTCATCTAGAATTTTTAGGATTTCTATAGGAAGCATGTCTGGTCTATGACTTTTCCCACTCGTCATTGTTATTAATGCGTGTAATAGTTCTTCGCTTGTAATATATGGACCTATTTCTTTTGACGTAAGTTCTATGTGCTCCAGATCTTCTCTTTTATCATCGAACAATTCGTCGATATATTCTGCCGATCTTCTGCTTCCCCCCTTAAATTGTCTGATTAGATCTGTGTTGATATATTCTGTCCTTCTAAACTTGATAGCACAGCACCTCATTATAAAGTAAAATATGTGTACGAAACACTAGAGGGCCGTTAAAAAAATTAAAGCGACCCGTGAGTATTTATTCATTAGAAATGTGTCATTACTCGATATATTACGTTGTATACTCCTTGTATCATGAGATTCAGGTAGCTGATATATTATTAGGTTCGAGTTAACATAAATCGAAAATGAATGATTTGCCGATTTAGTGCCGCAGAATTGGGTAAATATGTTCGAAAAATGAAATTTTATTAAAATCTAATTTTATTATAGTAGTAGATCAATCAAGTTAGTAAAAATAAGGTATTTTCGTCTGGATAGATGGGTTTGACAGTTGAAATGTGTAGTATGAGATATTACAAAAAAAAATATCTAGGGATTCATTAATTTTTTAGTAATATTTTAGGAAATATTTTTAAATAAGTAATCAAAACGTCAAATTCATTATTTTGCTAAAAAAACTTGTCTATTTAGAGATTGGACGTCAACAGGCAACTGTAGGTATGTAAGATTCGTATATAGGTATATGGAATTTCGTGTCTTAAGGCTGATTTATAAACTTTACGTTGGCGTTGGCGTTGGCGCTGACGTTCGCGTTACAACATGATCAAATGGAAAACTCGTATGTCCATTTATAAACATCGTTCGCCGTTGGCGTCGGCGTTTGGTTCCGTTCAAGATAAACCAACTTTATCTTTTGCCGTTGGCCGTTGTAGCACAGAATACAGAAACCCTTCTGTGGTTGTAGTATCGATCTCAGAACATAAAATAAAACTGTATCTTTGTCATCGCAGCCAATAGCAATATCGAAAAAGTGACAAAGTTTGTCAAACAAATCAAAAAAAATTATTTGTTTATGTTTCCACGTGTTTATAAAGTGGAAAAGTTTAGATAATAACAAGCCTTTCTTCAACAGAAATTCCATCAGAGCGACAGTTTACATTTATTTTTGGATTTAACATTTGCAGTAATTTTTCAAATACTGGAAACTGTATCCTGGTGTATTTAGAAAACTGCTGGGTATCCCAGTTTTCATATTTTTATAATAATTAAAATTACCTCTTGTCTTTCTGTTCTGGTTAATGGGCCTCAGTTTGTATCGACGTTGTCTTTTATTTCGAAGGCTCAGTGCTGCTCGGATACAAAGTATCAGTGCCACTGCACCTAACAAAGGCTGAGCATTTTCCATTGTATTAATTTTCAAGCAAAAATTAATAATACCAAATCAAAAATGTAAGGCAAGAAATTAAGATTTGATTTTTAACGCCAACGCCAACTAAAAGTTTATAAATGCAGTGTATGATAGCTAGCGCCAAGGTCAACGGTGAACGCCAGCGCCAACGCCAACGCAAAGTTTATAAATCAGCCTTTATTATTAGAGAGAGTACATTTTTGGTGGTGAATGTGCGATATGTGTAAGAGAGAGAACGTGTGACGTAGGTGGCGTTACAGTTTACGATCATGCTGAACGTGATGGTGACTCTAGCTTACACAAGAGGGCGTTACAGTGTACAATTTTTATTTTAAAAATATTTAAAAATAAATGTTTAATTCTAAACGACGTATGACAGGCAGACGTACGACAGTCGACAGCTCGTTTCAAAGGGAACTCGGCATGAAACACAATGATTTATCAAAAACAAAGATGGCCACCATTTATTTTTCTCTTATGATTATATTCCTACAGAATTAAGTCGATACACTTTACAACACATTTTCCAAACAACAAACGGTGATTTCGTTACAGTTGTGTCCTCAAACAAATATTTCTCAGCATCATTCCCTAGTATTCAATCTGTCGATAATTTTTCACTTAATATACCCAGTGAGGCTCACATTAATGCTGGGCGGTCCTATACATTTTATAATAATATATAGAATTTTCTAATGGATTCTCGGATGCAACCACTTACTCTTGAGGCTTTTGATGCTTGCCTTGTGGTCTCTGTTCTTATATCCCTGTGTGTGATCTCTATTTCTAAGTAATTGAATTTATTACTTGTTCTACAATTTTGCCCTCTATTTCTAGTGTGCATCTACGCGGCTCTTTACTGATCACTATACATATTTAGTTTTATTTCTACTGATATTCTCATATTAAGTTTGTTTGCTGTGATCTTGAAGGTGCAGGCCTTTGTAGGTCAACAATTTGACTAACGAACATTATAATTATTTCGACACTAGGTAGATGATAAAGGATTACATTTTTTAAGGAAAGTTACAATTTCTCAGCTCGAAAAGGGGACCTTACGCCCTAAGAGTTGGTTGTTAAGTGGGTTTTTTTTCTGAAGAATGAATAAACACAAGGTCGATGATAGGGAATTACATTTTTTAAGGGAACGTATAATTTCCCAGTTCGAAAAGAGGACCTTACGCCCTCAAAGTTAGTTGTTACGTTAGGGTTTTTTCTGAAGAATGAGTTAATTACAACGAAATTCTTCTAATATAAGAAGTCCTGTTACCTCTCTCATTTTTCTGATCAAATCCAAAGTTTTTCTATAGGTACCTGATTCTGCCTTATCCTGTGTAATTTGGCGTTAAAATTTCTAATTATCATTGTATAAATGGGTTTTTAAAGTTTGTATAGCTGCTCTGATATCTTCAAAAATTGCTCAACTTTCTCATCTAAGTGGCTCATAGTTAGTGCGTAAGCCTGTATAATTTTAAGTTTGTATTTTGGATTTATTTAAATAATAAGATAAATCACTCTGGTACATAAACTTTTTATTATAAATATACTTTGATGGTACACAAGGCAAATATCGAACACAGTAGTTAATCAAATCTTGCCCAAGTACTTTCGATCACAAGATCATCCTCAGGGGCATTTCGTCAGTTGTGGCCTATCCAGCAGTAACAGAATGTCATAAATGTAAATTGGGATATAACAAATACACTAAACAAAGACAAACAAACACTTTAAAATTTAAGAAATGGAGAAGCTACATTTTATATAGAAGCCGGAGACAGATCACCCTGAGGATGATCTTGTGATCGAAAGTACTTGGGCAAGATTTGATTAACTACTGTGATCGATATTTGCCTTGTGTACCATCAAAGTTCATTTATTCGAACATTCAACCTTATATTGATGTATTATAAATATGTTTGGTGCCCATTTGTATGGATTAAAAAACCAACTTCTCTGACAGATGACTCTTTGTTTCCTCTGAAATGGAACACATTTCCAAACTTAAGTATTATTTGGTCATTTTTTGGTTATTGGGTTTATATTACTAAATTGCAAGTAACTCGTATCAAAACAAGGTGCAGTTTTTATTGAAAAGGAGAAAAAAGCTATAAGTAAGCGTAAAAATTAAAATAAGCAATAAAACACTGTCTTTTTGGTCTTTTTTTGATTCAACTCATCAATATCTTAAATAATTTGCTACTGGGTTTTAATATTTTTAGTATAATTTAGTTAGTATAATAATTTAGTATAAGTATAATGACTGAAAATACGAGCAATACAATAAATATTATCTTTAGTATTTAGAAACAAAAATTATTTTTTATTTCTAGGGTGGGCTCCGAAGAAATTTTGGACTTCTGCAGTGAACATGGTTGCAGGAGGAAAATGGATATGGCTTTCTAATGGCCAACCAATTAAATATTTCAATTGGGATAGAGGAGAACCAACAGGGTTTCTTCCTTTCGTAGCTTCCTACGAGAACTGCATACAAGTAAGACACGAAGGAACGAGAGGTTTCACATGGAATGATTTAAATTGCGGTGTGAAGAATTATGTAATTTGTAAAAGACCTAGTTCATGTAGTTGTACTAACATAAAAGGATATTGATGAGTATATATAGGGTAACGGTTACAGTTGTTGTCCGGTCACTAGTGATTGGCCATTTTTACAAAAATCCGAAATATTAAGATTTTCAAAATTTATAAGGAAATAAATGTATTTATGAGAGAAGGTTGACTATTGCTAGAACAGCCATGATGAAACTGATAGCAATTTGGAAAAATTCTAGCATAAACAATACACACAAAACTAAGGCTAGTAAGGGCGCTCATTTTTCCCATAGCCACATATGCATCCGAAACGTGGACCTTAAAGAAAGCGGATAAAAATAAACTGGACGCTTTTGAAATGTGGGTGTACCGCCACATGTTGAGAATATCCTGGATTGATCATTGATTAAAGTGAAGGATAGATTGTTTAAACAAATACAACAGAGATATTTGCAGTATTTTGGACACATTGCTAGAAGAACAGGCACGATGGAAAAACTGATAGTCGAGGGTAGAGTTGAAGAAAAAAGACCTAGGAGAAGATCTTTAAGCCGTTGAGTAGATCAAACAAAAACATTGATTAACCAAGGGTTACATGAAGCCGAACAACTAGCCCAGGACAGAGAATCATGGAGGGAAATCCTAAAAAAACTGTGAAGGCCTGATGGTGTCACCACATCCCAAAAGGTATTAGGACTGAGGAGGAGGAGGAAATGTATTCACATTGATATACACAGTTCACAGTTAATATTATCTATTTGTTACGGCGTGTGTTGTTCGAAGCTTAACAGGTTCATCCAGTTTTAAGAGTTTTTTAAAGAATTTGTTAAGGAAGGTTATTCACGAGGTGAGTTATCTTGCCAAATAGTATTATGCATCTGGGTATATTATTAACTACCATTAGTAACTAACATTACTAAATCTAGTCAGTGAAGCAAGTTATCGGAGAGGCCTAAAAATCAACATTTCAAAGACAAAGTGGATGGCAGTTGGAAAGATCCATATAGATCAAGGTCTGCTTTCTCTTAATGGAGAAGAGATAGAAAGGGTAAATCATTTCAAATACCTTGGCAGCTGGTTAAATGTAAATTGTGACTCTGATGAAGAGATAATATCCAGGATCGAAATATCACGTAAGGCTTTTATGACCTGGAAACCAGTTTTATGTGACAGAAACCTGTCAATGAATATTCGTAAGAAGGTCCTGAAATGTTATGTGTGGTCGATCCTATTGTATGGTTGTGAGACATGGACGTTAAAAACCACAATGCTAAACAAGTTAGAAGCATTCGAATTGTGGTGCTATAGACGAATCCTAAAGATATCGTGGGTTTCGCACACTTCCAATGAAGATGTTCTTCAAATGATCAATTCAGAACGTCTGCTCATAAACACCATAAAGAGGAGAAAAACAGAATACTTCGGCCATATAATTAGAGTACCTAAATACCATTTACTTCGCCTTATAATACAAGGAAAAGTGAAAGGAAAGAGATGGATTGGTCGAAAGAAACTTTCATGGCTGCGTAATATTAGACAATGGTGTGGTTCCACAGTAGAAGAATTATTTCGCGCAGCAGCCGATAGAGAAAGGTTTCAGGAAATTGTAAACATGATGACGGCCAATGTCTGAATACGGACACGGCACCCAAAGAAGAAGAAGTATATATTATTGTTTTATATCGATTTAGTGGGGTACATCTTACATTATCAGTGGTTTTTTGTACTAGTAAGGATATGAATCTTTGGTGGTAAATTCGTTTTACTTAGAATCGGCCAGGAAGAGGTTGGTATAGATCCTTTTTAAAGCGACACCCAGATTTAAGTGAGAGAACTCCAGAAGCGGTAACGGCAGCAACGGTTCAGTTGTGTCTGCAAAATATATAAAAAAATGGTTCACCGGTGTTCAAGAATACTTGCATCGTAAAGGTTACATCGATATTCTTCAAGACCCTTTACGTGTTTTAAATGGCAATGAAACCTGCTTCCTCTTCTGCCCCAAAAATTAACGAGTGTTGGCTGTAAAGAGAAGCAAAAATGTATATCAAATAGAGTATCACTCCAAAGTAAATTTGACGGTATATTTACATTTGCAGCATCTGGAGAAATATAATCAGCAATGTTTATATACCCGTTCAAACAAATTCCTAGCTTCTTCTTCGCGTGCCATATCAGAACTATCCGACGTTGGCGATCATCAAATTCCTAGCAATCTTCTAAATTAAATTCCACGAGAATGGCGCATAGGATGCAGTGATACGGGATGGATAAAGAATAAAAACTTCTATGAATACATAGGAAACCTCTTATATATGTACCTCGTTGCGAAAAACACTAAATTACCAGTCATTTTGTTCGTTGGAAGTTTATGTTTTAAAGTTACAAATTATTTTAGTGGCTTTATATATGAATGCGACCAGAATTATACAACTTGCAGATATTGCTACATTTGCAGTATTAAAAGTTAAACGCGAAAACCCGAACTCAGTAGTTACCAAAGAGAATTTTGTATTAGTAGAAAACACAGCCATTCGTCAATTAAAATCTTAATTAATTCCATAATTAATGACATTAAAACGTCTTAAAAATCACACTATTTCTTTGACAAAATAAATAACATATGAATATTTGGAACACATAGTTGAAGCCGCAAAAATATTTGAATTTCTATGTTTGCATAATTGCGAGGAACTAAATGAATATTCAAAATTACTTTTTAGTATATTTAATTTATTTCAAAATACCATAGATCTACCCACGATTCAGACTACAGTGACAGGTGAAATCACAAATGATATACAAGATACCTCTATCATCACAGAAACCTCTATCATATATCTTTAGATATTACACTTAAACCTGTAGGTGGCATTGGAATCATATGCAACGTACAAGATATTCCTGTTATTACGGAAAAAAAATCATCTACTTTCGGATTTTCGAGTTTAACTTCTAGAAAACAGTGATATTAAATATATGTAATATAAAAAGATGTCACAGAAGATATTTTACTTTACTTTAGATATTCAATCGATATTCAATAATCTGCCTTTAGTTAATCAAGATAACTCATTATCTAAAGAAATTGACACTTCAATCAAAAAATTCTTTTTTTTTGCCAAAAATCCCAAAAAGAAATGGCAAAAAGCAACCAAAAAGGTTGCCTTTCATGCTTACTTCTTCAGATCGTCAAAATGTAGAGAGGCGTAAAATTGAAGAAAAAGCAGAACAAGAAAAAATACAATTAGAACGAAAATAAAAGCGAATTGACGCAGCGCAAACAATAAAGGTAAAAAAAAAACAAGGAAAGCCAAAAACCAAGATCAAACTAATAAAAAAATTGCCACGAGTCAATTTCGGGAGCAAAAAATGTTAACTGTTTTGAAGAATAAAGAAAATGTTACAGTAAATATAGCTGATATTGCAGATACAAATATTTTGAAAGCAGACACACTTGTTGATCATACAATTAAAAACACTACTTTGTAAAGTGGAATTAGAGTATATATACCAGAAGTGATTAACCTCAATGGAAACAAGAATTGTCACGGAACCAATTTCCTGATTCTGTAGAGGAAAACGTTAATCTTCTCACAATTGATAACATATTTTTTGATGTTTGCAACCATGGACGTATAAACATAGATGGACACAGCAATAAGATACCTTTAACACACAATGTTTTGAAGCTTCCATAGAATGTGATGCTTCCGCAATGAGCATAAGCGTGCTTGAATTTTTACTCGCGGGTAATTATTCAAATTTTAAGAATTGGAAGTCGTAATAATGTATAAAAACACGTTTTAAAAAGGTACTAAACAGATCTTTTTTAATCAGATGATGTCTACTTACAATTTAAAAATGTTTACTAATTTCATGAACTTTATCTTATTCAATACATTAATGAACATGAATAAACCCAATGGTACGCCTATTAAAATGTAAACAAATACGCTTCCTCATTTCCTCATCTTAAATAATGTAAATTGTATGTACTTACAAATGAAATGAGAGATCGGGATGTAAATATTTCGTTTATTTTATTTCACTTTTCACAAATATCACTCAAAATACAGCCAAAATATCGAAAAACAACTTTTACTAAAAAGTAAACAAACATGGAACAGCATTTGAAGTTTGACGTAGATCCATAAGAGAGAGAAATGTAAACAACCGTTGCTATTTATAAATAGTTTTCAGTGCTTCTACATATAAAATAATTGATTGATATCTATTATACGCTATTATTAAGTGATAATGCACACTATATGCACACTTTATATTTTGATTACAATTAAATATATTAATCTAACCAATAAATTATTATTTTGGTTTGATAGCGCCTGTAGAGTATAAAATACGGAGTAATATTTTCAGCGACTCGCGAATAAAAAATTTTAAAACAAAACGTGACAACAGTTGAAGGTGCTGAGAATGTGACCTATGCAAATAATTTCTCACAATTTTATGTAAATAACTGAGTCCATCTGTGTTTATACGTCCATGTTTGCAACAATATGAATTCATCAAATTTGAAGAATACATCTCAAAGCAAATGTACACATTTGGAAACTAGCAAAGAAAAATGTGCTGGTGAGAAGGCTAAAAGAAACTTATTTTTTGAAACTGAAGGATATAACAACAACCCATCTATAAATAACCTTTTGTATACAGGATTGTGTTATTCTTGTTCCTAGAATATATCTAAATCAAAAGTTGGAATAAAATGTCTATTTTGTGTTAGAGACCCTGTATATTGGTACTTGTGCAAAAAAGACAACAAGAAATTGAAAATTTAAATATTTTTGTGTGCATTACCTGCACAAAAAATAGAAAATTAGGAATTTTATTAATGGCCAGTGACTGTAATTCGATATGGCAATAACTATGTTTGTATGGCCAATAACTGTGTAATTCTGTAGATTTTCGAATTTGTGTTAATTTTTGATATATATTATTATTTCTGATTAAAATAACCTGAGTTTTTATAAAATTTGATTATAACATACATGGATATAACAACAACCCATCTATAAATAACCTTTTGTATACAGGATT